AGCTGTAGTCTTGATGACGATAAACGACAAGCGATTATGCAATGGGTGGACACCTGTGAACCACTTCTTTCGCCGGACGACGATGAGGTTGCGGGTCCCAGGGAGATTCTGTCCTACCCACTTGAGGATATCATCGAGCAGGACGAGGAGTCAATGAGGGATTCGGTCAGGTGAGCGGAATTTTGAATATGAAATTTCAGCGCAAAAATATAGCTGCGACTCCGGAGTCTAGAATTTTGTAAATTTTCAGATCAAAATGTGGCACCGATTCGCATCCGCTAAGCATTTTGAGTAGAGAGGATATTGAAAAGATTATAAGCACGGATGCGACCACTCACGTGAGTTCCTCCTTCATCTCTTTTTTTTTGCTGTTTTGGGCTGTCACCTGATAGGAAATTTAAAGCATTCGTCTTTTCTTCAGGATGCCGGCTCAGATGAAGACGCTCTGGAACGTGCCATGGCCGCTTCGGTGTCATCAATTCGATCCCATGATATCATGGTTAAGCTAAATGAAGATATTGCTGCGGTGAGTTCTTTTCTAGAAAATTCTAGAAAAAAGATTCTTTACAAGGTTGCTAAATCTATATAGGAATCGCTGAGTTACCAACAAAAGTAGGTGATTCATCGCACGCAGAGACAGTACGCAATTGCAGGCGCTGCGTCTCTTTCAAACTAGAGCGCTTTATCCCTTTAACAGTCTGCGCCTCTCCGAAACATGTACTATTTTGGCTTACACAACGCAGGCGCTTGATCATTGCGTGCGATGAATAATGTACTATTAAATGGATACTGGATAACGATGTATAAGATTAGTTAATGCTCTGTACTCTGTGAACGTCTACTGACGAGAACTGGTCTCCAACGACTGGCCCCCTGTTTTTACTGATAACATAAACAGAATCTATATATAAGAAATCGTAGTGCTTTTTGAAAAAGGTGAAATTAAGGGAAACGCGGGGTTGCTGCAACGATTGCGGCTGCAAATCTAGTACCTTTAGATTACTGGTCCACTATCAATTCCAAATTTGGAGTTTAGTCCCGTATATGCATATGTGCCGAAAAGCGAGTGGTGTACCATGTTTCTCCCCCGGGGACCAGTTCTCGCCGAAGCTTTTTTTTACAGTGGTAACGCAATTTCTACTCAGACTTCTCCATTTCCTCTATCCTTGCGGCCTACGCTAATGAGGCATGTGTGCTGTTTCGGATATCGTACCGTTTCTTCGGAGACCAGTTCTCGTTAGCGCTCCTCCTCCCTAGCACTGCTATTTCTACCCAAATTTCTTCACTTCCTCCTCTACCTTTGTATATGCCCGTCACTAATGAGGCATGTGTGCTCTTTCGGTATTCCATTGACGGGGCACCCCGCACCCCGGCTGCGTATACAACTCATCGGGTTGCATAAACATTCTTCAAACAATCGCAACATGATCGCCTGAATACGCA